CGATATTTTAATTCTTGCGAACATTGTTAGAAGGTTGATAGCTTAAGTGAATCGCTCTTTACGAATGCACGCTTTTGAGTTCGTGCATTTTTAGTTATTATAATTTTATGAGGAGGTTATTTGGTGTATTACTGAATAAATAATAGCAATTTCTCCACGCAACTCTAAAGAGAATGAAATAAACAAAAAATAACACACTCACGTTAAACAGTGCAAGGGTTGATCCGGAACTTACTAAACAAAGTCAAGTAACAGGCGGTTTTGTAGAGTTAATTGTCTCATAATTTCCTGCAAAAGCGGTTTCTCGTCACAAAAGGTTTCTCGGTGGAATTTATGTATTTTTTCACGGATATTAGAGACTTTTGCACCTCTTAAAAGAGTTAATTATATATCCGACAAGTTAGGACATTTTTATTATTTAAGTTGAATTAAACAATGTCCTCTTATACTTTTTCCTTCAATTTTTGTTATTTTATCTTACTTTTCCAATGTATTTCCTTCATTTATGATTTTTTTTTTAATTTTTTGACTAATATTCTAAAACTGAGTTCAAGTCTCCTTAAACAATTTTTATCGAACAAGTTTGTTTACCTTCTTAGAAGTAAATATAAATTCATTGATGTTACTGGAATGTGCAATTAAGTTTGGAGACTGCTGTTAAAGTAGCAGCCTTTAACCGCGAAATAATCCGTTCCGATTACAAAAACTTGACATTGGTAAAAACATTTAATCGCTTAGGTTCATTGCGGAGCAGTAAGAAGCTGTGAAAAATGTATCAACACGAAAGTTTTAGATCTTTTTATTATCTACAATCAAGATAAACCGTTTTCAACACTTCAATTCACTTCAACTAACATCCAAGCGACTTCAGATTGCCCGGAAAATATTTTTCCTTTAATTTTTTGTTATTTTATCATCCTTTTCCAATGGATTTCCACCTACTAGGATTTTTTATTTTTTTCCCATTTTCAGGCATTGGACTATATATTGTAAATCCAAAATAATTTTCTAAAAAGCACACCCTCGCATCTGTCACAATATGCTAAGATAGCTTAAGTTAATAACGACAATGTGAATTACTCTGACTAATTTATTCGAGATTCATTTACGTTTAATTTGAAATAATGGTTTGGAATAGGAAGTTTTATGGTAAACGACGATTTAATACCGTTAAAATATATGCTTAGAATTTTACTAGACATCAAAATAACTACCTTAGTGAAAGCCGACTTAAGCTACTTTACCATTGTAAATACAATTTTTACTCATATATGCAAGCACTACTGTCAACTGACATACGAAGGTAATGAGCATTAATTACCTACGATCGTATGCTTCACGCATTGAATAATTCGACATGTAGGTTTACTAAGCTGGGCCAAAAAAGCCTTTAATTTTTTTTCTTAGATACCATGAAAATATCGTCGAAATTTGGTTAAGTTTGAGCTCTTGATATTAATACCATCAGGTGGCGTATTGTAATTAAAAGAATTATTTAGAGTTGGTTTTTTGGCCCAGCCTAATGAATATAACTTATTCGAGCACTTAGATAGTTTCAATCATTTGATTACTTAATTTATTTAATTTTTTCAACAGGTCATAAAATAACGTGAACCTTTAGGTTGTGCTCTTAAATGTTAACTTATAATTTTTCGAATTTGACTGAAATACGTCATTTAAGGGCCGTATTTTCAATATCTGGTTTATATTATCCTTAACTGCTGGTAGCTTCACTGGTTGATGGCTTCAACTTACAGATAGTTCGATTATTGTGAATGCGGGCCATGTATGTGCATGTTCAGACAAGAATTCTTTTTGCCGCCCAAACCTGTTTTCGTAGGCGAGGAGACGACGAGGAAAGACGAAGAGACCGTACCGCTCGTGCCTGGATTACACGCTTTGTGTTATTTTCCGTAACAACTCGGTTTCCAAGGAATATTTACCTTATGCATATACTCGTATGAATGCAAAAATGCTTAATAAAGAATGATAATGAGCGATGAAAGAATGGTCGTCTAAACTTTGTCTACACTTATAGGTTTTACAGCTGACAACTGTCATTTCATGTAACTAAGACTTTTTCTTTCGGTAAAGTTTACCAGAACTTCACTGACAGATGGTTGTTAGCCAGATATTGAGAAAACCATTTTTCAACATGTTGCCGATAAAGTTTTGATTAAGTGCTTAACCAGTCATTGAGAAAACGGCCCTTAAGGTTTAAGAAGTAAGAATTTGTATTATTCCTGCTGATAGCAACTTTTATATATTTATATTTAGTGGTATGAGAGAAACACCGTTAGCTACAGAAATGACCACACTGTCATATGTACTACATTTGTAAATTGAGGTATTGTATGAGGGTTTTTTAAAAATTTTATTTAGAAAGCATAGATGTCTATTAATACACTTAGTTATTCGTAATACAAGTATGTGGGATAGGGGCGATGTTATCCATTTAAACCCCCTAGAAAATAACTATATAATCAGTTTCATTAAAATAACTTTTCGAATGTTGAATTACAGTCCTCCAAGTCGTCTGTTTTCTCAATAGGTTTTGATGCCATGGCCTTCTGGCTCCGTTGAACGGAGGGAATTGTTTTATATTAAAACAAGGGAACACAAATTTCTAAACCTGGTCATGAGATGAACATAAAAACGGTTGTAAAATGGGATAAAGTCGAGAAATCGAGGTGAAACAAATTGGCCTTTTGATATATAATATATACCATTTTTCATTATGTGTAATGTTTAGCTAGGGTATTCGAATTAATATTTAAGAGAAACACAGATCCGAGTTTGGAGCACAAAGTAGTAATATGCTTTTTTAAAACAGCTAACACCAAAATGTATTAAAACAAGTAAGGAAGGGCTTAGTTCGGTTGTAATTGAAGCTTTGGACCGACTTGGACAATTTTTGGTCATAGGCTGGCACTATTCGTGTAAAGTTTTATCCGAATACATTTATTGGTTCTTGATGTGTATACTGGAAAGTGAAGAAATTTATAAATGTGTTATATGGGAAGTGGGCATGGTTGTTGTCTGATTTCGCTCACGGTTTCGCACTGTAATGTAGAAATGTCAGGATAACATTATCTATACATAACTCCATATGATAGGTGAACAAAACTATTATACTCTGTGACAATATGTTGAAATGGTATAAAAACACCCCTCGTTGCTTGTTCTATAGTCTTCTTTCCAAAAAAAGGTATAATTTTAGGAAAGTTTATGCGTTCATACTTAATCACAAGTTTTAGATATTTTTTTTTCAACGTGAACTCTTGACCGCCCGCTAAGCTGGCCCGATACATAACTGTTGGGATGACAGAGCTGCTTAGAACTTTTTATAAAGTTAGAAATCATCAAGAATACCTGAAAACTAAACTTATCAATCTTGTTGTTGTCCAGTACAATTCACTACAGAACAAAATTGCCAAGTCTTTTTTATGATTGCGAATTGAATGATAATAAGTAATTGCATTAAGAAAGAAACTGAATGAAAATCCCCGTCGAAATGCAAGGAAAAATAGCAAAGTAAATAAACAGCTTCATTTTGAATTTGAAAATGCAATGAATTTTAATACAATTTCGCACTATCCTCCTTCGACCAACCCAAATCAATCTCTGCACACATAGTCCTGTTCCGATAGCTGTGATTTCGCTTGTTTACAATCGCCACACAAAGCTTCCTCTGCGGCGAAGGATACAAATTGATTGCTTGTGTACGTTAGCTCATTAGTAACCTCCTGAGTCGTAGCGTACGACTCAACACTCATTCCACTATACTGCTCTTTATGTTGTTGTTACCTCAAATTAGGCTGCCGAAGAGGATAGTGGTTGTCGGTGAAAGGCCATCTGGAGTGGAAAGATCACGTCAAATTTTCCACAATTATGGCTGTACACTCGTGGCTGGCGCAAGTAGCAAATCACCAAAGGAGGCTGGCAGCACCAGAAATGTTGAATTCGACTTACACGCCTCGAATTATACCACCTCATTTTATTGATTTGACTCGTCAACGCTGTCGTTATTATTGCTTTGTGCTTTCATTTCCGGAAATAAATTGTTATAAGTTTCCGCTGGCGTGAATTGTAGTGAGACCGTCTGGGAATATAACATAAATAGGAATCTTTAGATTTGCTTGGTCGTTTGTTCGCTGCTTTCCCGTATTTTATTGACTGTTTGTTTTGTTGCTTTTTGTCGATATAACAAGCAAACAGGCGAACTATTTTTAAAACTGGTGTATGAGGGGTGTTTTGGTTTAAGGTTTAAAATCACACCTTCGTTTAATGACAAGTGAGCGATATTTGTCATCTTTAAGAAGGAAGGAAGCGAAGGAATTTTAAATTCCTGGTCACAAATTACCGAGAATCCCTGATAGTTTGAAATTCGAAGGTGTGTTGCCCTTCTCTTTCTACATTGGATGTAATTCTTTTGATTTTTGAAGGGGCCATAATTTGGTTTCAATATTTCCTCTAATAACGTATTTACAGTTGCTTTTCAACCACGCCATTTTACCTTGTGGACCTAGCTTATAAGACATATAAACCAAATGTTAAGTCATTAGTTATTATTGGGAAAAATGATACCTATAAAGTCATAACATACAAGTATAATTATGTTGAACAATTTGGAAAGTGAAGAGAGAACTGAGCGAACGCAATCGTTTTGTTTTGCTCACACTCGTTCAGAAACGTAACGGTATGATTAATACAGAGGAGAGTGTTAAGATGTCCTTGGATATAACATCAGAAATAAGTTCGCTAAACAAGGAGGATAATCTATGTGGGAAAAATGGTCCAAGTATGAGTTACACATTAGATACAGAAAGTCAAATATTGGGCAGCATGGATTTCGTTAAGATAATTTGACGAAAATGGTAATTCGCTTGGTTATTCGGGTTGGTTTGAATCTCTAACGTTTTACGTTTTGTTTAATATTCGTTTACATAATTATCTCAAAAAATTCTGCCGATACCAAAAATTGGCTTGTTCAATCTTAGCCAAGTGAACAAATCATTTGGAAGATAAAAAATTAAGCGAGCTGTCAGTCGTGGCGACCATGTTTGTTTTCGATTTTGTGTCAAATTTTGTGAGTGTGATCAGAGTGTGATCATATGCATGATATACGTTCTCTGGTGTGATCAGTAAGGTTTGGCATTTCATCAAGTCACGTTTCACTTTGATAGAACGCTTGAAATTTATTCAAGAGTATTACGTAAATTCACGTTCTCTGGTGTCTGCTGTTCATCGAAAATCATCTTCTCAGAAGAGGCCCATTTCTGGCTTAACGGCTCCGTCAACAAACAAAATTGTTACTATTGGGGTGAGTCAAATCCTCGTGTGGTTCAGGAAATGCAATTGCATCAAAAAAAAATGGACCGTTCGGTTCGGATTGCGGTATGGTGGTATCAACAATAGCGAGCTTTTTTCCGGAATTTGATGAAATTGACGCGGGCGATCATTGTTTCCAACAAGACGGTGCGCCATCTCATGTGGACACATTGCGTGCAAATTATGGTGACTCGTTAATTTCGAGAAATGGTCCAGTCAAATGGGATCACGCAATTTAAAACCTCTAGGTTTTTTTCTACAGCCGAAATGCTGCATCGGGTTATCAAAAATTCGCGTAAGCGGGTGGAGCTGTGGTGTCCGTTTGGCCGACATTTTGTTCAAATCATAAATGGTAAACAATTATCTGCTTAACAAAAAGAACCCAGTTTGATTATATCTGAGTATTTTATTTAATTTTAACATCACGTTGTTCTTGTTGGTAGATCCGATGTGGGCAAAAGAGGGGGACGAAAATGTCAAAACATCCCCATAATGATTAAAAATGCTCGAAAAAATGAAATCTGTTAATTGTGAATGCCACGCGTATGCATACGAAAGATTAATGGGGTTACAAATCAATGAAAACAATAGAACATTTTCACGAATTTTTTCTGCTGCACGAAACTTTTTTCTGCTCTCACACCGAACTCCTAATTAATCCAAACTTTATATTCGGTGATCTTAACATTCCGTTTTTTCGTGGACGTCTCTGGTCATTGGAATATACAATATGACCGGATAGCTGAGAAATCCGAATGACCTTCACAGCTCCAGTAAAGTGATGCGTGTCTAAGCAAAATTTTATAGACTATTTCAAGATATGTTAAGAAAAAGAAAGTGCTGGAGATTTCAAAGTGAAGAAAAAAGTAAACTGTGATATATTTTTTTACATTAAATTGTGAAAAATGCAATAAAATTAACGAAATAAACGAAAAGTAAATGAAATCAGTCAACTTTTGCATTGGTAGAATTGGCCCAATCCGGAAAGTCATTCAAATCTGGATATATAACGAGACCCCATGTTTGCATAAAGCCCAACAGAGAAACGGTGACAATTAATGTGGGCAAAATCCCACCAAGTGCCTGTAGATTAAATGGACAATTACGCATTTCAGAAATTTATATATTATTTATTGACCATGTCCTTTGTACGAATGTAGCCAAATTGCGCCACTATAGCATTCGGCGGCGTACTGACCGGCAGATGAAAAGCCATACTCAGACCCAAGGCTGCAGGAAAGCAGATATAAGCCGGATTAACTTTAACTGATAAGGCCTGGAAACACAAAGTTAAAGTTTATTGCAAAATAGGCTATTCTCAAGATAAGCGCTTACCAAATTTATCAATATGGGTATAAGAATATTGCACATGGCTACATTGGATGTGAAAGCGGTACAAAATACAGCGACACAAAAACAAATTAACTGTAAAAGCCAGGGCGGCAATACAGATAAAACCGACAGAGATGCGCCAACGTACGATGCAAAATGGGACTTGGAGGCACCCTCAGCGAGCGCAAAACCACCAGCAAGCAGATAGAGTAAGCCCCAAGAGTGACGCACGGAGAACCAAGACCAATCAAGAACCGGTTTCGCTGTGCCCTCCTCATCCGGTTCTATAAAAAATTTGCAGATGAATTGTTAATACAAATCAGCTACGAAATCCAACATACTTCGGCATATGAAGTACTTCATGCACAAATAATTGACAGGCAACGCAAAGAGTAGAAATGCAACACCCGAGAGGCCAGCAGATGACTGTATTTTTCTGTAATAAACAAAAAGCGTAAGAAATGAAAAGTTCATGGTTTGTATTTGCTTTCACGCTAACTTTTCATTTATAATGTCCGCGTAACCTTTGAGATCACCTATGCCTGGTTTCCTGGTAAGAAAAAGTATTATCATGAGAATAAAAAGTATGCCCACTTGGATTTCGTGACATGAAACTTTTCCCAGTTCTTTTGATTTCTCCCTAATGACTTCACGTGCAGCTTCTTCAGCCTCTTTCGACGAACTAATTTGTTTGCTCTTCGATCTGAAGAGACCCAAGTACTGCCATTGTAATCCCACAGCCATAAGTGTGGTATTGACCAACATGGGTGGCACATTGAAAGCCATGAACGGCAGAAAACCGAGTGTAGTTGACTTGGGGAAAGCTCTTTCGAAAAGTCCTTTGAAAGCAATATTTGTACCAGTGCCAATTAGAGTACCTAGGCCACCGATAGATGATGCATACGATACACCGAGATAAAATGCAATTTGTACTTGGGAAGGGTAGGGAGGGCTAAAAAACAGATGAAAAATGGCATTTAAGTTGTATTAAAATAAGTAATAAATTACTTACTCCTCTGGTCCAAGTACCTTAGTGGTATCCCACATCTCAACCACGCCTTGCTGTAGAAAAGTTGGGTTTATACTAATTTTAAAAATATTAAATATGTTATTACTTACTGCCGACATTTCTTCTAAAGTGCCTTTAATGACCGGGCACATCATGGCCGTTGCTGCCGAATTCGATATCCACATCGATACAAACATTGTAATAAACAACATACTAAAATGCAACCTATTGGAGAGAGTATTAAAAAATTTTACTATGAGTCAGACAAAGTCAACAAATATCGGTTTAACTAAGAGTAATATAGTAATACCAAGCTCACACCACACATCACTAATTGGACTCTAAGGTTGAGTTAAGTTATACTGGTTGGCTTTTACGCTATACATAGACCTACAGGTCCCTTATAATGTCAGATGGAGGTTTAGTTTAATACGAGTTCAAGTTGTCGTCATACAGGACTTCAAGCGAAGTTTAAAAGAGACTTGGTATCCAATTCTGCTAAAAATTGTGAGACGCGTCATAGCTAATAATGTGGTGAATTTATTATAACTACTACTATGTTAACTTAATAAACATTTTATAAACACGTTATTGTTTTGGAGCATGCATATCCGGTATATGAGTCCTACATACCTGTATATTTTGCAGCCAATTACAGATAGTACAGCGTAGGCAATACGTTTATGCAGATTCGAATACTCGATGGCCAAGGAAACCACCAAACTGCCGAAGAACAATATGATGGCGTTCGGGAAATATGCATTAACTGTGGTCGTGGTATCCTATAAATGTCTCAAATATTAGCTACATAAATACATACGAGACAGTTGACAAATTTCATACCAAAACGCCCAAAAGTGGAAAGAGTGCTACTGGCAAGAGAGAAGTTACGCCTAGTGGCAGCAATTCACCAATCCAGAAAATGGCCATTAAACACACCACATAACAACAGCGCATTTCCTGTCAAATGCATGAAAGTATTGAATGTTTCTTAACTGACCACAGTTAGTTACTTACCATATTGGGTTCAATGAAAAGTAATGGCAAAAGCAAAATTGGTGCTATGAATGAGGTAAATCCTCTCCAATGATTGGTGAAGAAGTATTTGCAGCGTTTACCAGCGGGGAGGTCTTCCTGTTCGGTTCTGCAAGGATTATGCAAAGGCGATGCATCAAATTACTTTATAAATGTGAAATATATTTAGATTTATAAGAACTTACTCCATAATTGTCGAGTTTTCTAAGTTATTTTGAAATTTATTTTATGCCTTTCGTTGCCCATAATGTAATGGCTCGCTGTATATATTTATAAAATATGATTTTGACAAGTTATGTATACTATAGTATATTAATAAAATGAGCGAAAATAGCTTCGGTAATAAGTATAATATAAAGTCGTACTTTTAAAATGGGCTATATAGTACCCGATGTTATTAACACAGTAGGGAATGTCACTTGTGCCTTAACTTGGATTTTCACCGAGCAACAATATCTTAAAGAATATTTAATAAGATCTCGAGGTCAAATAAGTAAGAAAGTAGTTTCGTAAACCTTGTATAGTAGGATTCGGCGTGGTTAAAACCTATGCTTTCGTTCATTGGGTGGTCAAAGACGGTGTTTCCCCTAATTATTGCTGAAATAGTAGGGATGTTAGTAAAATCGATTGGCTGCAATGGAATTGAGTTGCAAATTTCATCACAATGGCAATATATATATATAAATAATAAGTTTATGTAAGATTTATTTGTTGGAGACAGTGCTGCCATCTGCTGGAAAATTTTATTTAACGAATTGTCAAAATTAATGCAATATTTTTATGACAGAAATCTTTGAGGTACATTGATATATTTAGAATATAGTCAGCAATTTAAGTGCCCCACTAAAGTTGTCACAAATCAGTCAAGTCAATCCTGGCATAAGATTATTAAATTAAGGAACACAATTCGGTTTTAAATTTATGTTTCCCGGTTGCGAGAGGAGTCTAGTTCTACTATATCTCAGTATTCGATAGTCTATCAGCACACGAGGACTTGATATTTCGGAAGCCTAAGAATTTAATTAAACGGCAACTCTAACGTGTTCAATTGCACATTTAAGGGCCATAAAGTATATAACATTTTCTTTATATTCAAATATTCGGCAGTAATCTATTTCATCAAAACTTCAGCTCGCTATACTTTTATTACTTAAATATATGCATATGTCGTACCTTAAGTCAAATTTCAACTGGATTTTGGTCATTAACGAAGAGTTAAAGCTTTGCCTTGCACACTTTGATGCAAGCCACAAATCAATCAATGATCGCTCAAAGTGCTTTGATATGCATATTAAAAAGGTCATATCTGAGTGGTCTTCTTGGCGTATTTGCGGTAACTTTCAGTAATAAAGTCCTGAGATAGGTAATCAATGCTTTTGGCAGGAATGGCACCTTGAATTTCACTTAACTAAACCTTGCTTCAGAATTTGTATATAAAGGTAAAAATTAAGCGATAAATAGAAGCTCGCATATACATACATACCAACATATATGCGATGTAGTATATAGTCAGTCATATAAGGTCATACTTAAAATTACTGGGGAAGTTTGAGAAATATTTCTAAATCTTGTTATGTATTGGAATGTAATGACTTTATATTCTTAACTACGTGTATACCTCTACGTACATAAATATATAAACCTTTAGGCATTTTTCAGAGAGCTGAGGTAAGTATAGACATTTTAATATTTGATGAAGGAAAATGCAATCAAAGTCAACCTGATGTCAAAAAGTGAACAGTCAAAGTGAAGTAAGATCTATAAATTAAGGCAATTGCTATTACTATAAGACAATAATAAAATAATATATATTTGTATATTTGAAGCACATACTTATAAATTTACATATGTACCTCTTTGTATATATACATATACACGGCTATTGGGATTTTTAAGCTGTCAGTGTTTGTCACGTGTTTGTTTCCATTTATACGAAATCGATTTTTTCGAATGGTTAACATATGAGCGTTAACCAATTATCATGCAATTATAGTCTTTTATAAATTTTAGAGAAAATTCAATCACAGATTTAGCCAATTGCTGGGAGTAATTTTGAACCGACACGCTACTGTTTTTATATTATGCTTGCTGCTGCTAAGATGTAATTAAATTATATTATATTATTTATCACGACGAATAAATACACGCTTCCAAGTACACAATCATAAAAGTTACGATCAAAATACAAGCACGAATCGATCGTTATGTGATATGTGAGGCGTAATGTAAATCAGCACGTTGCCTTACCTATAACTTAGTGACTGTATATAGTAGTTATATTGCACAACGGTGCAGGAGGATAGCAGAAGAAGGTATCGCATGTCATATGTCTAATCATATGGTAATGTTTTGTTCAACATTCATTGAATATAATTGCGAAAAAGGCCTCCGGTAGGACCTTCTGTGCAAATTTTCACGTCTTTACGGCTGTGGTTCGGTCGTTCGGCGAGTACATAACGAAATAGCGTTTCATTTTTACATACACGATTTATATTTTACTTTAAATTCAATCTATTTAACATGTTTCAGTATATTAATCTCAATAATTTTGGGATAAGGTGCCCACCTTAACTCCAAAATTAACTTTAAAAATGAGTGCGCTGCCTCCAGATGTTAAAAAAATTTTTTTTTTGTCCAAATATTTTCTTTTTTTATAATCTACAGATTTTACCCCCAGGCTAAGCAAAAAAAAATATTATTTTTCGCTCCACCCAAATGTGAATATAATAACAGTGTAATCATATATAACATTTTTTTTATTGGTACAAAAACAGTGAGCGAAAATTTTTGTGGAAAAACGTTATGTATCGAAATAATAATTATAAAAAGGCAAGCCACCTGCTGAATTAAGTCTTAGTCCCACAATCATTCTCTGATTGATTAAATAAGGACTCAGTGTATTCATTATCAGTGGCAGCAAGGAAACAAATGCAAATATTTGTGAAATCACAATTGAAATTAACTTAATTATACGAAAATAAGAATGTAACCGTTAATTGATGTAAATAATAAATATCCTTTACATTTTTGCTTATATGTAAATATATATTGTTTTCTCGTATTTATCTCTTTAAGCAATCATGTCATTGTTAATATTTACTGAACGCATTAATCAATCAATCATTATTTTTATAAACATAACGGGTAAATTTAAGTACAAAATGTTTAATTTTTGCTGCCATTTAATAATTAATAAGTTTTTGCTTAGAATATTAATATATATATGTAAATCAAGGGATAACTGATTTGTTGTATTTAGGTAATAAATTAAATTTCTTTACTGTAGACATGGCTCTTATGTAAATATTGTACACATTGCATAAATATCTACATACATATGTGTATGTTCTAAGAATCTAGATTAATGAAAAAGATCTCTTAATACAAAAATATTTGGTTTTAAATGTTTTATGCTAATTTGAATGGAAAGAAGGACTGAATTGTCATTTAATTTCATTTTAGCAATGTTTATGATTTGGTTAGGAATTGAATTTCAGAATTAAACTTATGCAGTTCTGCGTGAATTATTATATATGTTATTATATACAAATATATTGGCTACATGTTGAT